TTCTGTCTAGGTCTTATCATGGTAATCTTGTCGTAGATCGGCAAAAGGGAATGATAAACATTAGTGTTGCCACTCATCAAAAAGACGACAACTCGCAAGCTGCTGCAAAAAGTGTTGTACAGGATTTGAGAGGTAATCTATAGGTCTTTCTTTCCAAATCTCTCATTCTTACCATCGGAAAAGGTGAACCGTTTCGAATAAATGACTTTCTAGTTTTATCAGATAATGATAACGTCAGTGTGAAGGATGTGGGAATTTCCCGTTGTGGAAATCTTTCCTTTTGGTGTCTCTATCGAGATTGCATTTTGGTTTAATTTTAATCCCAATTGTGGAAGCTTGATTGGGCACACAGATTCTGTTGAAAGAAGAAAAAAGCTTATCTTCTGATTTTCCGTAATGCAGGCCTTTCTGGAGGTGAACGTTCATTTACGACGGCTTGCTTTATCATGGCGTTATGGGAGATTATGGAGGCCCCATTTCGATGCATGGATGAGTTTGATGTCTTTATGGATATGATCAACAGACGGGTGAGCGAAAGCCGTCGCACTTTAGTCAAGGTTTAATACATCACTTTAGGTAATTATGGATCTGCTTGTGAAACTGGCCACTGAGCAATACTCACACAATCAATTTATCTTCTTCACACCACAAGGAATCAAAGAGCTTGGCGAAAGAGAGCATGTACAAGTATTTGAGATGCCTAAAGTTCGAAAATAGAATGGTTAGCAAACCACTATCAAGCAAACATTGATTGATTTTGCAACGCCTACTAAACTGAAGTTTTTCCTGATCTAACTCTTTACACTCATCCTGTGAATCTCTTTAAGAATTGCTTTATTGGAAAGAGTTGTTTTATGTTTGTTTAGAATCATTATGAATGTTCAAAACACTATGTATAAACCTTTATCTTCTCTCCACCTAATTTTTTCTTGTTGTGTTCTACTCAGACCTCATTGCATGTTGATCACCTATTCGTTTACCTCTACACTTGCTTTGTTAAAATGCCAGTGCACGCCATCGTGGCCTGATACTTAAAGATCTCTAAATACAGCAATGAATTTTTGTATGTAACTATCTGCTACCTATGGCTGATTGTACATGCTTAACAATTGACATATTATTGTACATATTTCCACATCTGGTCTGATGTGTTTGAATCTGTGGAAGATGTTTTATATGAATGAATCTATACAAGCATATCTGTAGTCTACAACTATTTTCTGAAAGGTTGGAACCAAAATTTATTC